TGCCTATTCAAATGCCTGCTCAAACAACCAGGTCTTCACTTTCCTCCGAAATGTGAACAGGGAGGGGGCCAATACTAATTTCTGTGGGAAGGGCGTTCCACCACTGAGAAGGCCCTGTCTCTCGTCCCCGCCAACCGTACTTGTGATGCAGGCGGGACCGAGAGCAGGGCCTCCCCAGACGATCTTAACGTCCTAGCTGGTTCTTAGGAGGAGATACGTTCGGACAGGTAAGTTGGGCCAGAACCGTTTAGGGCTTTATAGGCTAAGGCCAACACGTTGAATTGTGCCCGGTAGCAAATTGGCAGCCAGTGGAGCTGGCGCAACAGAGGAGTTGTATGCTCCCTGAGTGCCGCTCCTGTTAGTAACCTGGCTGCCGAGTGTTGGACCATTTGAAGCTTCCGGACAGTCTTCAAAGGCAACCCCCCGTAGAGAGCATTGCAGTAGTCTATACGGGATGTAACCAGAGCGTGGACTACCGTGGCCAAGTCAGACTTCCCAAGGTACAGGCGCAACTGGCGCACAAGTTCCAAGACTATCAAAATTCACAACACAGTGGCAGAAGGCTTCATTGAGGTTTATGCCCCTTCCTTTCCCAAATAATGTTCATGTCCTCCCGTGGCCACCATTACCTGGAAAGGAGTAACAGTTCTCCTACTTCCTTGCCACCTGATATGTATATTGTATCTTTCACCATATGAACTCCCAAGTCATTCAACTGATTTGATTAAGGAAGGCAATCAGGTTGCTGTCCCTTTCCTGGCATAAAAATAAAATACCCAGTCTAGTGAAAAATCTCCTTGTGCCTACGTTTCCTTTTCACCGACTGTTGAATGCTGTGGCAGTTTCTCAAAGGAAAGTTTTGTAACATTTCTTGAAAGCGTTTGACAGGCCTCTGGAGAAGAGAGTTCCTTAATTTGGGAGCATCCCTGCAAAGAACAGCTCTCTCCATGGCATGTCCTTGAACAAATCCGCATTGAATTAATTGCTGCCCAGTTCTCAAATAATTCTGTAGGCGCTTTCAGAAAGAAAGTCTCAGTTTGTTTTCAAAACTGCTAACTTCAAGAAGCAGAAAGCTGTCTGGTACCGTGTCTAGCAAGCTTGCCGGCTGTTTATTTTTGAAGAGAGAGATTCCTACTCTCTCCAGAGAAAAGGGAGAATTGGGCTTGCATGAGTCCTTTGGAAAAAGGATACAGGTTTCAAAACGCTCTGCAAACAGCTGCAGCTGCATGTCGGAAATCTAGTTTGCATGCTTGCAAGAATCCCAGTTCCCACCTTATTGTTCTGTCGCGCACTGGGCCTGTAACAGCTGTACTTTTCTATAGGACGTATATACTTTAAGCCCAGCTGGAAGAGAGGTTCTCAGGGATTATTCTGAAGTGATGGTCTTTAGAGTCTTTAATGATGCAACAAAGTCTTTATTATGGAACAAACAACAAATCTTCAATGGTTCAAACAACACTTCAAGGTTTTCTTAGTCTAGTCCTCAATGGACTGGTACCTGACTTTGATTAACTGTACTTTCTCTGTAAGAAAACCCTATTTAACCTCTCCCAGGCTGTTTACTATCTATGCCTCATCGGTGTGGGTCCTACTACCGATTCCAAATGTGTCTGGGTATCGAGTAGACCTACCAGCCGAGGCTTGTAGATATTTCAGCTGGAGTTCCGTGGATCTGTAATGCTGTCCTCCCTCAGAGAATTCTTTGAAAACTTCAGGGTCTGTTTTCCCTTTGATTGCTGTGAGGCTGAGAGGCTGTGAGCTCTCAGCCAGAGACTTGGGACCTTTTCCCTGGAATTTCTGTTTCTGTTTCCCCGGATGTTCTTGAGAAAAGAAGCTTTTCTACGGGACGAGCTGGTCTACGTCCTATAGTTTAGCTTCCTTATGTGAGACTGCCCAAAAAATGGCTCCTTTCCCTCCCAGAGCCCTGAACAAGGGGTGGAACCAAAGCTTCATTATGATGGACAGATGGCTTGACCTATGACTGCAAACAGATAACAGAAAGTAAATAAAGTTGGAGCTCCTGGTACAGCCATGCCAGCACCCATACTTTTCCCAATGTGCACATGGTGATGGCTCTTGGGTTCGCTTCTAATTCTCCTTCCCACTTCCTTTTGTTGTCTTTCTCCAGCCCCAGCAATGCCTCCTCAAAATATCCAGATAAATGCACTCTCTGCAAGCCAACTGGAAGTCACCTGGGATCCTCCTCCTGTTGACAGCCAGAATGGGAACATACAAGGCTACAAGGCAAGTGACTCTCCTGCATCTTGCAATGATGCTAGCTTTTCTTCCCTTCAATAGACTTGGAAATGGAAACATGGGGAGTTGCCTTCTTAATTTGGGGGGGGACGACGACGACGACTATATATGTATTGCATGGGTATATGAGACTTTATACAGTGGGGGGGGGGGAGTAGTCAGATACCAATTGTACAAGTTCTCCCACTTAAAAAGATTAGAGATGCCTGTAATTGACATCAAAGGTAGACCTCAACTATGAGGTCTACATCTAGGGAAGTCATGCTCCCCATGCTCTATTCTGCGTTGGTTAGACCACACCTGGAATATTGTGTCCAATTCCAGGCACCACAATTCAAGAGAGATATTGACAAGTTTGAATGTGTCCAGAGGAGGGCGACTAAAATGATCAAGGGTCTGGAGAACAAGCCCTATGAGGAGCGGCTTAAGGAGCTGGGCATGTTTAGCCTGAAGAAGAGAAGGCTGAGAGGAGATATGATAGCCATGTATAAATATGTGAGAGGAAGCCACAGGGAGGAGGGAGCACGCTTGTTTTCTGCTTCCCTGGAGACTAGGACGCAATGGAACAATGGTTTCAAACTACAAGAGAGGAGATTCCATCTGAACATGAGGAAGAACTTCCTGACTGTGAGAGCCGTTCAGCAGTGGAACTCTCTGCCCCGGAGTGTGGTGGATGCTCCTTCTTTGGAAGCTTTTAAACAGAGGCTGGATGGCCATCTGTCAGGGGTGATTTGAATGCAATATTCCTGCTTCTTGGCAGAATGGGGTTGGACTGGATGGCCCATGAGGTCTCTTCCAACTCTTGATTCTATGATTCTATGAGAGACAACATGAGAAAACACATCCAGAAAATGTATGTATTGTATGTGCAGTAGGAGGACAGTGAAGGGGTCGTTGCTACATGTTTTATTTATTTTTTTATCAAAAGCATTGCATAATTAGTATAAAACTGATGAAAATAGAGAGAGCACAAGTGGCTAAATATTTTTGGACCAAAAACAGGCAACAGCAACCGCATTGTCTGTAGCCTCCAATAACACTTCCTCTGTACATGAGGCAGGACGTTGTGGACAAGCATGGAGATGCAGAGTTGTTTGTTCTGCTCCACCTTCTGCTAAGGTGGAGGATTGTTTTAGGTAGTGCCGTTTTGCTAGGTTATCTTTTGATCTGCCCACTCCACTTCTGAGTCTGTTCGAGGACTTCCGAGTTGTCCAACTTGCTACATGTATGGACCTTCATGGAGATACTGTAACCTATTGTAACCATAGTAGACTCATTGGGTCAGTTGGATTTAGCTACGTCTTGTTTTTGTCATTCAATATCGAATCAAGGGGACTACCCAACAGGATTCCAATCTTTAAATATTCTGCTTATGTACTGACATATACTAGGATTTCCCAACCCACATGGACTGTGTTCGCTGAGAAATGACTAAATCACATCAGAAGATCCAACAGTGACCACTCACCAAATACTTCTGAAAATAGTATCGCCAGGGCAGGAGGTCATTGTTGTCAATGGGATGCCGCCTTTGAATCTGGAAACGTAGTGGCCCTGAGTGGAAGAGTTGTCGGTATTTGCAGTGATGAGCTGGGCTGGAAGCTTGTGTTCTTGCCGACAGGCAACACAAAGCAAGGATCAAAGAGAGGCAGGAAGTGTACCTCCGACCCTCTGAAATGATATCAGCAGCGTACTAAAATAAACAAGAATGGCTTCCTTCCCATATTGATGTTCCGTGTCATCAGAACATCCCTCTAAATTTTGGACAAGAAAACCTTGGTTGAATCCTGGATAACATAGATCCATCAAGCAAAATCAATGGTTGTAATTTCTAGAAACTTATTATTTGTTTATTCAGTTACTAGCTGTCCCCTGCAATGTATTGCTGTGGCCCACATGGGGGTTTTGTGTGGGAGGTTTGGCCCAATTCTATCATTGGTGGGGTTCAGAATGCTCTGTGATTGTAAGTGAACTATAAATCCCAGTAACTACAACTCCCAAATGTCAAGATTCTATGTTCCCCCAACTCCACCAGTGTTCACATTTGGGCATATTGAGTATTCGTGTAGTTTGGTCCAGATCCATCAGTTGTTTGAGTCCACAGTGATCTCTGGATGTAGGTGAACTACAACTCCAAAACCAAAGGACACTGCCCACCAAACCCTTCCAGTATTTTCTGTTGGTCATGGGAGTCCTGTATGCCATGTTTGGTTCAATTCCATCATTGGTGGATTTCAGAATGCTCTTTGATTGTAGGTGGACTATAAATCCCAGCAACTACGACTCCCAAATGTCAAGGTCTATTTTCCCCAAACTCCACCAGTGTTCACATTTGGACATATTGAATATTTGTGCCAAGTTTGGTCCAGATCCATCATTGTTTGAGTCCACAGTGATCTCTGGATGGAGGTGAACTACCACCCCAAAACCAAAGGACACCAAAGGACACTGCCCACCAAACCCTTCCAGTACTTTCTGTTGGTCATGGCAGTCCTGTTATGCCACGTTTGGTTCAATTCCGTCGTTGGTGGAGTTCAGAATGCTCTTTGATTGTTAGTGAACTACAAATCCCATCAACTACAACTCCCAAATGACAAAATCATAAATTTTTGAGTGAAGGACATACATTGGGTTGTTAGGTGTCTTGTGTCCAAATTTGGTGTCAATTCCCCCAGTGGTTTTTGTGTTCTGTGAGTATTGCAAATGAACATTACAGTTTTATTTATATAGATGACATTTATATTCTGTTCTTTAATCACACTCGACTCACAGTCTAGCAATAGCCAACAAAATAAAACTAAACCCTGTGCAAATCCCCAACAACTGACAACCAACCAGCACAATCAGCATATACTAACCAACAGCAACATAGACTTAGCTCCAAAAGCCCTTACAAAAGCCAACATTTCAGCTGGGAAGAGGCAAGTTGAAATTTCTTATGGTGTGGAGACTTCCAACTCATTGGGTTCAGAGCCTCGAAGGAAGATGTGACACATGTGGGAAGACAGGGTCCTCAGTCCATGTTGACCATCTAAAAGCAGTGTTTCTCAACCTTCCTAATCATAGAATCATAGAATCAAAGAGTTGGAAGAGACCTCATGGGCCATCCAGTCCAACCCCCTGCCAAGAAGCAGGAATATTGCATTCAAAGCACCCCCGACAGATGGCCATCCACCTCTGTTTAAAAGCTTCCAAAGAAGGAGCCTCCACCACACTCCGGGGCAGAGAGTTCCACTGCTGAACAGCTCTCACAGTCAGGAAGTTCTTCCTCATGTTCAATGCAAAAAGGGTACGCATCAATTGTTCTGCATCCTAGTCTCCAGGGAAGCAGAAAACAAGCTTGCTCCCTCCTCCCTAGGACTTCCTCTCACATATTTATACATATGGCTATCATGTCTCCTCTCAGCCTTCTCTTCTTCAGGCTAAACATGCCCAGCTCCTTAAGCCGCTCCTCATAGGGCTTGTCCTCCAGACCCTTGATCATTTTAGTCGCCCCCCTCTGGACACATTCCAGCTGGTCAATATCTCTCTTGAATTGTGGTGCCCAGAATTGGACACAATATTCCAATATCATGCTGTGACCCCTTAATACAGTTCCTCATGTTGCGGTGACCCCCAACCATAACATTATTTTTGTTGCTATTTCATTACTGTCATTTTGCTCCTGTTTTGAATCGTAACGTAAATATCTGATATGCCGGATGCATTTTCATTCACAGAACCAAATTTGGCACAAATACCCAATATGCCCGCATTTGAATACTGGTGGGGTTGGGAGGAGGGGTTAATTTTCTCACTTGGGAGTTGTAGTTACTGGGATTTATAGTTCACCTACCATCAAAGAGCATTTTGAACTCCACCAATGATGGAATTGAACCAAACATGGCACACAGAATTCCCATGACCAAGAGAAAATACTGGGAAGTTCTGGTGGACATTGACCTTGAGATTTTGGAGTTGTAGTTCACCAGATCACAGAACACATACACGGCAAAAATTCAATGCCGATGAGCCCCCGGTGGCGCACTGGGTTAAACACCTGTGCCGGCAGGACTGAAGACCGATAGGTCACAGGTTTGAATCTGGGGAGAGGCGGATGACCTCCCTCTATCAGCTCCAGCTCCTCATGCGGGGACATGAGAGAAGCCATCCACAAGGATGATAAAAACAATCAAATCCGGGCGTCCCCTGGGCAACGTCCTTGCAGACAGCCAATTCTCTCACACCAGAAGCAACTTGCAATTTTTCAGGTCGCTCCTGACACGAAAAAAAAAACTTGGCACAAATACTCAATATGCCCAAATGTGAATACTGGTTTGTTGTTGTTGTTCATTCGTTCAGTCGTCTCCGACTCTTCGTGACCTCATGGACCAGCCCACGCCAGAGCTCCCTGTCGGCCGTCACCACCCCCAGCTCCTTCAAATCAAGCCAGTCACTTCAAGGATACCATCCATCCATCTTGCCCTTGGTCGGCCCCTCTTCCTTTTTCCTTCCACTTTCCCCAGCATCATTGTCTTCTCGAATACTGGTTTAGTTTGGGGAAAATCGACCTTGATATTTGGGAGTTGTGGATGCTGGGATTTATAGTTCACCTACAATAAAAGAGCATTCTGAACCCCACCAATGATAGAATTGGGTCAAACCCCCACAACCAACAGAAAACACTGTGTTTTCCTATGGTCTTTGACACCCCCTTTGTGACCCCACCCAGGGTTGAGAAATGCTGAATTAGATCAGGCATGGGCAAACTTTGGCCCTCCAGGTATTTTGGACTTCAACTCCCACAATTCCTAACAGCCTCAGGCCCTTTCCTTTTCCCCCTCAGCCGCTTAAACAGTTAGGAATAAAAGGAAGGGACTGAGGCTGTTAGGAATTGTGGGAGTTGAAGTCCAAACCATCTGGAAGGGCCAAGTCTGCCCATGACTGATCTGGAACTTTTAAAGTTGAACCTCAACATCAGGAATCAATTAACAGCCAACAAACATGTCACAAAACGGGTTATTTATGGTTTGAGTCAACCCTACTGCATTCCAACTGTCATTTCCAAATACTCTTCAGAGGTGGCCCTGGGTAAAACATGTTAGCAGTAATCTACGCCGACGATTGCCAGTAGAGCCACTCTGGCCAAGTCCTCTTTTGTCCAGGAAGAAGGCATCTGGTGCCCCAACATCCGCACCAGCTTGAGCAACGGCCATTGGCGCCAGTAGCTGCACCGGATCCAGGATCACACCCTGGATGACACCCTGCCAAAAGCTTATTGCAGTCCTATAAGCAAATCTTTGAGACTGGATTGGACGCGCACTGACGACAAGCCTTGGAAGCTGCCTTTGGTTCATTGCTTGGCACATTAGACCCGCAAATAGAGCAAAGCCAAGCCAATGAAAATAATCTGGCATTACGGCTTGGCAGAAGTGAGCTACCTGCTATAACCATTTGTATATTTTTCCCTTTTGTTTGTGCACAGGCTGTTCTAGTAGCTTGGCTTGTAACACAAAAGCATGCTCTTGGCTGGGCGTTGAGGTCAGGTTCCTGGCGCACCTAGCATAGGATTGATTAACCAATAGACATTCATTAGTGGCGCTTGAATGGCCAAACTGGGAGTCCAAACTGGGTAATCAGGTTGAGGAAAGTGGGTCTACATTGCTACCACTGGGCACCAATGCCGAGACAGAGCTATTAGATTATGAAAAACTGGAAAGAGTCCATGGCTTACATAATCATACAATCGTGAGAACAATTCTGTTGGATCAAGTTGGATCCAATTCAGTATCCTTTGTCCTAAGGTAGATTGGCCAGACGTTTTCTGGGCACTCACAGGTCGGCTTGAAGGCAATCGCTATGCCCTGTTCTTTGGCCATTTTGAGCAACTGTTCTGCAGAGCCACAACATCTCTATGCAGCCAACTTGAGAAACAGGATCCAATAGACTTCTCCTCACCCTCTTTTCAAACCACCCAGCTGTCTTCACCAGATTTCTAGAGAACCGATGCCATAAACTGCTGCATTGTGTGAATGGTTCAAACTCTGGTTCAAACTCTTTTTCCAATCCATTTTGTTGGGTGGTCCCAAGTTCTAATATTGCATGAAGGCCTATCCACTTTGCTTAATGCTTTAGTCTCCCGAGCCAGAGTTCAAATATGCATGGATACATCAGGGGAAGAAAAAGAGTTTGTATCGTCATGAGAGGGATGTGATTTTAAGTGAGATTTTCTAATGACTGTAAATCCCATATGCCCTGATTTGCTAGAGGCTTTGTTTGCCAAAACTGTTAATGCTTAGAAAAAGCTGCCACGGGGAGGTGATTATTTTCTGTGTCTTCAAAGAGAATGTTGCAACCCAGAGCAGGAAACTGGACCCTCAGACAACAATCCACCACACTTGACTCCAGGAAAACAATCCTTCTTTATTGATGAAAGATAAATACAAAATAGAAGAAATATGCAAAGGTAAAAAGTCACAGTAAAAATCAGCAACAAGAAATGTCCATAAACAAGATCATGAAACCCACAGCAAAACTGCTGAATCCTGGACCTGTTAGCAATCCACTAACGGTACTTGGAACAACCAGAAAACCTCCGAGGAACAAGGCCACTTGAATCAGGAGACCTGCAAAAGCTTGCACATGAATCTGGAATGATGCCTGGTCTGAAGCTACATTCAGGCCAGGCATACTTAAGGCCGAGAAATCTATTGCGAGACACGCCTGAAGACTTTCTTTGCATTTCTCTTAATCTAGCTGACCTACGTAAACTTTGTGCTTCCCCCCGGCTCTGCCAAATCTGCCCCCGCCTATCCTCATTAGGCAGACCAGGTGTCAGATTCTCTGGAGAAGTAAGACTGGGAGGAAAAGGGAGTGAAACGTCTTGGCTCGGCTCGGAATGCATGTTCTCATGGGAATCTTGACTTTCACTTTCCAAGGCTGTAGGATTTTCACTCCTCAAACCATCATCATCTAAATTGGCCTCAGAATTCACATTGACATCGACATTGGCATCAGGAAATACAATCAGAGAATCAGGTTCAGGTTCACACACAGGCTGAACCCCAACAGAGATAGCTACAAGCTGCAAGTTAATACTGAACTCTTCAAATTTCTCATGCACTGGAAAGAGCAACAGGGCCGACTCGCAGATGCCAAGCTCAGGGTCAGAGGCATGAACAGTACCATTGTTAGATACTAGGTATGGTTAGGTTCAGTCGGAATCTTCGTAATTCAGAATAAATTTGGAAAGATTTGCTTTTTGAAGCAATTTCAAAGTTTTTAAGGAAATCGGAAGTCCCTTTGCCCTTCCAAAGCTTTTTCCGCCATTTCTGTTACGAAGCTGTGAGTTGGAAATGATTAAGCTTTTCCCCACTTCTGGTTTCAAGCCTGGAAAGCATTTTAAACCAGAGTGGATGGATTTCCTGCCTTTCCTTTCCCCTCGCTTCTGGTCTCAAGCCTGGGAAGTGTTTTAAACCAGAGTGGACGAATTCCCTCCCTTTTGCTCCCCCCCCCCTTTCTGCAGTAAAACAACTACTTTCAAAGTAAATACCACCCAATGAAATAGGAATTAACACTTTCAAACCATTAAGGAAGAATTCAGAATTTTCAAAAAGTTTTGAACACTTTTTTTCTGTGAAAATTGGAATTGATTTCCGAATTGAACCACGAGCACCCCCTACATCCTAAACGAGTTTTGAACAATTTTAAAAATCAAGCAAGCCTATTAGATACCTTTTGCTGTTTGAGAGATAGAGAGAGCCAATAAGAATGTGTATAAGCCAGTTTAGACCAATGAAATGATTGATCTTTGAACACCAATGAAACTGTGCCTTTAACTTTCTGTAAAAGTGATAAATACGTATCTAACTTCGGGTGTGACAAAATCTTTGATTGCATTTGTATTTGTGCCTTGTCATCATTGCTTTGGCCCAGAATTAAACAACTTTTGCAGTTGGAGATTCAACTTTGTGGTATCTTTCCTGACCTCGCCTTCTTTAGCAGAAGGGAGCTCCTGTTCAAATGGGATCGTAGGAGTACCGGCACATTGTTGCCCTTTCAATCAGAGGACCAGTTGTAGAACAGACAAGTGGCAGGAGGAGAACAAATTAGGGCATTCGGGATAGTGGATGAACTAAACTTCCAAGTAGAATAACATTCATTCCCCTTCCAATTAGGTTTATTACTGGGAAGAGGACAGCCGGAACGACACGGAAAAAGTGAAGGTCCTTTTCCTCCCAGAGACAAGTGTCCGGTTGAAGAACTTGACCAGTTACTCCAAATATTTGGTCTGTATTTCTGCGTTCAATGCAGCTGGAGATGGGCCCAAAAGTAGTCCTGGTCAGGGCAGAACACACCAGGCAGGTAAGAATCTCGTTTGGCTGGGCACAACTTTCAATGTAAGTCTCCTTTTTGGAGAGAAAAGCGGGGTATAAATACACATCATAATAATAATAATAATAATAATAATAATAATAATAATAATAATAATAATAATAATAATAATGCTTTTAATGCTGTACTTCAACATCAGAATAAATGGCTATAAAGATAAAGCCTGCATCACTTAAAATGCAAAGCATATTTGAATGCCTATATCTCTCACGTCTGAATGTTCTAAATATGTCAAAAGATGTCTCCATCTTTGGCCCTTTCTTCGTTTCTTTGTGAAGTACCCAGCCATATACAGATCACACCAGCTTGCTTTTCCTGAAGTTCTACTTAATTGCCATATTCTAGTAGAGGCCTTCCCCCTTAGTATTGATCTGGTCTTAAATAATAATACTATTTAGTATTATTTAAGAAGCAACTGGAAAAGCTGGCACAATACAAGAATTTAAAGATCGAACTGCAAAGAATCTGGCATAAGCCAGTCAAGGTGGTCCCAGTGGTGATCGGCATACTGGGTGCAGTGCTTAAAGACCTTGGCCTGCACTTGAAAACAATTGGCACTGACAAAAATCACCACCTGTTAGCTGCAAAAGGTCACCATACTCAGATCTGCACACATTATTCGCCGGTACATCACATAGTCCTAGACACTTAAGAAGTGTCCAACGTCTGATCCAATACATTATTATTATTATTATTATTATTATTATTATTATTATTATTATTTCTTACACACCTCTCTTTATAGCTCGAGGCGGGCTAAATGCATTGTGTCTCAATCCCATTGAATAGGAGTCTGATCCAGAGTGGTCCAGACTCCAACAACACATAGGTTCTATACAATTAGAACCATATCTACATACTTCCAAATAACCCCACCGAATGAGCAAACATTGACATCTTTGGGTAAATTTTGGCCTTCCAGTTGTTGTTAGACTCCGGTATCCATCATCCATATCCAGCAAAGCTAATGATGAAAGATGATGGGCAGTGCAACCCAACATCTGAAGCAGCCCACCCGGTCCTAATATGGAAGCAAAGAATGATTTCTGGAAAACTCTCAATGTTTTGACGGCACTTTCCCTTGGTGATGATACTGTCTACAGTAGTGGTTCTCAACCTGGGGTCCCCAGGTGTTTTGGCCTACAACTCCCAGAAATCCCAGTCAGTTTACCAGCTGTTAGGATTTCTGGGAGTTTGAAGGCCAAAAACATCTGGGGACACCAGGTTGAGAACTACTGGTCTACAGTGTGATGATTGGAGGAATCCTCCTTTGGGAAAGATCTGCAAAAGGCAATGATGGAATGCAATTTGGTTTGAAGGCCACAAGTTTATATTCCAATTGTCCCGAGAACACTTCTGGAGGTTATCATAAGCATCTGTGGCCTTCAGCATTGCTCCTGGTGGCCTTCAGCATTGCTCCTGCTTCTCCTCATGCTCTCCATCACTCTTTCAGCTCCCGGGGCTCCCAGCTTCTTGGCTTTCTCTGAGATCACATGCTCTACTCTCAATGTCTCCTGGGGGGAGCCTGCTGCAGCCAATGGCATTCTGCAGGGATACCGAGTGATCTATGAGCCTTTGGCCCCAGTTCAAGGTAAGGCTTCCAGATAAATCTTTACTTGGAGAAGAATAAGAATCTATTAAAAATGTAAGATTGGCCACTGCCCATCTTATTGCCTATGTTTTCCTGTATCAACACACACACTAGAGGGTGATGAACATGTCTGGACAACCTTCAGGGGTGCATTCCCTTTCTGCGCATTCCTGGTACTTTGATTGTGCTTTTCCTGCATGGTGGAAAATTGGACTGGATGGCCCATGTGGTCTCTTCCAACTCCGTGATTCTATTATTCTAAAGCAGGGGTTCTCAACCTTCCTCATGCTGCGACCCCTTAATACAATTCCTCATGTTGTGGTGACCCCCAATCATAACGTTATTTTCATTGCCACTTCATAACTGTCATTTTGCTACTGTTATCAATCGTAATGTAAATATCTGATACGCAGGATGTATTTTCATTCACTAGACCAAATTTGGCACAAATACCTGATATGCCCAAATTTGAATACTGGTGGGGTTGGGGCGGGGGGTGTGTGTGTTGATTTTGTCATTTGGGTGTTCTGGTTGCTGGGATTTGTAGTTCTCCTACAATGAAAGAGCATTGTGAACTCTACCAGCAATGGAATTGAACCAAACTTGGCATACAGAACTCCCATGGCAAATAGAAAATATTGGAAGGGTTTGGTGGGCATTGACCTTGAGTTTTGGAGTTGTAGTTCGCCTACATCCAGAGAGCACTGTGGACTCAAACAATGATGGATCTGGACCAAACTTGGCACAAATATTCAACATGCCCAAATGTGAACACTGGTGGAGTTTGGGGAAAATAGTCCTTGACATTTTGGGAGTTGTAGTTGCTGGGATTTGTAGTTCACCTACAATCAAAGAACATTCTGAACCCCACCAACGAGAGAACTGGGCCAAACTTCCCACATAGAACCCCAATGACCAACAGAAAATACTGTGTTTTCTGGTGGTCTTTAGTGACCCCTCTGACATTCCTTCGTGGCCCCTCCAGGGGTCCCAATCCCCAGGTTGAGAACCATTGTTCTAAAGCCAGCGTGCTTCACACTTTTTTTGCTGAGTGGCATTTTAAGCTATTGTGATGCAATGACACAGATCAACCCTTGCAAAAACTACTATGTCTGTATTCTGCAAATTCACGATGTCTGCTGTCAACAATTTTGGAAGGAATATCCATTTCAAAGGTACAAATATAGAGAAAATTATATTTTCTAGTCTGAAATTCAAACAGCAAAGGAGTTATATCTGCTTTTACTAGCCACTAATACGCCTTATATCAAATTTGTGAATATTATTTGCACCTGAAAACAGGGTATGGTGTTGATTTATTGACCTCTGAGCATCCACTAAAAGGCACAAAAATAAATAATGAAGTGTGCTACCTCAGTCATCTCCAAAGCCCAGAGTGGCACTTATCTTTTTATTGCAATTACTAGCAACTACAAACTATTTACAGGAGCAGAATAAAACACGTCCATTCTTTAGCTGTACATCACTGGAAGCTGAAGCGCATGGCTATCTGATTCTCTGGAATGTAAACACATTACCGGAACACTCGGAAGTTATGCTCTAGGAATCAAGCCCAGCTCTATGCATTTACCTCTTGCATTGCATTGCCACACCACACACAGTTTAAACTACAAACAATATTTCATT